AATATCCATTTTACGTGGACTCTGATCGAAATAGTTAAATTCTTCTTCTTCTTTGTAATCTACGGAATTACGAGTCTGTGCTTCAAAGTTTAACTATATAAGATACCTCACTCTTAGCGAGCTTAAGATTAAAGATACATAATCGGAGCCTTTTCTTTATAGATTGCAGAGCAAGGCATAACAAATATGCCCATTAAACCTTTTGCTTTAAGGTATAATGAAAACAACCACAGAACAACAGTTGTTGCATGGAACAGACGCCAGTCTGGGATCAAGTGAACGGGCTTACAACAACAGAACCGAATCGTTGCTTTCCATGAGTCACACCTTTCCGGGGGATTTGTTGTAAAGAAAGAGCGTAGAAGCCCGCAATCAGTAAAAGAGACGCAAACAAGTTACCTGGAGAGCCGAGGGGACCGCCGATGGCGTGACAGTTGTGTGGGTAAGCGGCTTACCGGATCGTCAGAAGTTGGAAGTTGAAAGTTACGGCCCACAATTCGTACCGAAGGAATCAGCAAAAAGGCCTTAGCTTTGACGGCCATCGAAAATTAATAAAGATTTTACAAAAAATGCCTAATGAAGTTGAGTTGTAATCAGGAGAATTGTCTATTCAAATGATCTACTTACCACCCAGAAGCGAACAGAGTTGGAAACATAATTCGAACTATGGAGATCAATATAGAACAGATAAATTATTATCTTGCAACATTTTTACTACTCGCATCTAATCCGCAAACACAACAGCTTAAGGTTATTTTGTTGTAAACGGTTAAGAACTACATATAAAAAAAAAAGGAAAGAAAAAATTGTCATATCGCAAGAGCCCCATTAAATTCGAGCAATCAGCAAGAGTCAAGCACATTTCCATAAAAACAAATAACAACAAAAAAAATATATAACCCGTTTTGTAGTGTTTACGAGACAATCCAATCAACTTTGTTGCAAAACTGTTAAGAAAGAGGAGCAAGAAACAGCTGAAGCGAAGCTGTCGAAGCTGTCGACTGAAGTTCAAGACAACAACAACAACAACAACAACTAGCAAGTGGTCAACAAGACGACCTACTCTTTGGCCTGGACAGTAAACATAAAGCCAATACTTTAATGGCGCCAGACACATCCTGAGTTCGGAACTGGAACGAAAGACTTGATCGGAAAATCCAAGCTAACAGCGTAGCGAAATCAAACGGCGTAGAAAACGCGTCATGAAAACCCACTTAAATCGAAGAGAGAGAGAGAGAGAGAGAGAGAGCATGCAATAGTAAGTAGGACTCCGACAACAACAATAACGATGGCGGTCACAAAAACAGGATGCGCATGCGCAGCAGAGAACAGAAAGCAAAAGGTGAACGTGAACATCATGATGAAGTTGAGTGGAGGTAGAATAAATACACATAAAAAGCGAAATCAAAGAAATGAACAAATAAACATAAAAGGAAACGATTCTCAGAGCACACACACACATATACATTCACACAAAGCAGCAAGGTACAAGAGCGATAAGAATGGCGAAGAGAAACGTTAAACGGATCGACTAATAGGGGGAGCGGGGAAATGGCAAACGATAAACGTCATCGCGCAGATTATGCTGCATAAATTATCAAATGCAAAAGACTGTGCCAAAAGGGAGCGCCGCAGATGAGCGCAGACAGATGAAGTGCTCAGAGAGCATATGAAAGAAAGAGAGACGAAGAAAGAAAGAGAGAGAGAGAGGGCATCAGAGGTTCAGGCAAACATTGTGCGCTGTAAATAATTGTAATTTACGAACAGGGAACTGGCTCTGCACCATCTACCTGAGCGAGCGGCAGAGGCAACGAGCTAAAGAAGCAAAAGCAATAGCAGGGACAGAGGCAGAGGCAGAAGAAGAAGCATCAGCAGCAACAGCAGCGCAATAGCAAACAAGAAGAGCACGTACAAGAAATTAGCAAACAGAAGAAGAGAAGTAAAAGCGAAACGTCAACCCCGCGCGCACACTTCCCCCTGACGGCACAAGTATTATGATTATGAAGCTAGGCGGCTGATCATAATGATGAATGGCCGGCAGCCAGCCAGACGTGTAGCGCATACATACAAACATACAAACATACAAACATACATACATACATACACAGATGAAAAACGAAAACCGAAAAAAAAAAGAAACCCTGTGGCAGTTGTACAAACGTAGAGTTACACAGACACACACACATACATACACGTTGGCCCCATGGACATTGGACCACGCGTAACGCGTTTCTTGTAATCGTGGCCAGAATCGTAAAACGTGATCGAGTGCCTTATGTACAATATATTGGCCATGGGCTTTAGCAGAAATTGTAGTTGTTGTTGCCACTTTTAATACTCAGCACACAGAAAATGGGATAAGGCAGGGGTATATTTTTATTATGCGCGAAAAGTAAAGACAAAAAGTTGAGAAAGGTATCAAAACTCGATTTCTCTGAGTCGCATACGAATGACATTTTGTATCTTAGTTTTGGTTAGTTTTATAAAATATATAAAATATCTATCGAATAGATAAACTGTGTATTAGAATATAAAAGATACGAAAATATTTGGAATTGGATTATAAAAGCTTTTAATAGATTCTTATGCAGATTATACGGCAAGGAGTACAAATTCATTATTTAATGTACTTCTTCTCTTCAAAATGCTTCTAGGGTAACTTAAAGTCCAGCATTTTATCCTGTTGAGTTAATTTTTGATCTTGTTTTGTTTATTTCTTTTTCTTATTTTTTTTTTTTTTTTTTTTTTTTTGAACACGTATCGCGTAGTATGTAGTCTGATTATTTTTGTTTTCCGTTCGAGCCAACAACTTTTCATTAGGGAAATACACATGCACAAACTCAACAACAGCAGCAACAACAACAACAACAACGACAACGCGAACAAGAACAATGAGAAAAAACAACAATAGTTTATATTTTGCCTGGCTACAACTAGCAGAATGTTGTTGTTTTTGTTTTTCTAGCTGCGCGATTCGGTCTCAATTCTGTTGTCCCTTCCGCCTGCCGTCTTTGTTCCCTCTGCCGACGTTTGGGATAATTTAGAGTTCTCTGCAGAGAGAAATTTACATGCAGACGGACATGTTTTGGGGTCTGGCAGAGTTGTTGTGTTGCCGCGTCTGTAAGTTGTGGGTCAATGAATCAATGAATCAGCGCGTGGATTCATGGATTTCCGTTTTAACAGCTGTTGTGCGAATTTTTGATGAACATGTAGAAGAGCATTGCGGGATGAGAACAAGAAATCAAACACATGTCTAAGAACTAGATAGACCACTGGAAACATATGTATGTATGTACATACATTAGCTAACAGCGATCCGGTAACATTCACAATTTCGCAATTTCACAATGAATCATATTTAATCAAAGGTAAGTGAGTCCTCCCAGCCCATGCGCAGTACAAATTGGGTTTCGATCGATAACAATCCGACTACTTACTCCGTTGCCAAGCAATCGATAAAAATCGATATCGAAATCCTGTTTTTTAAAGAACTGGATAGTTGCTTCTTCATTTCTCCCCGATACTACTGAATGTACACACACATATTCATGCGCGTCTTCTTTGAATTCTATCAACAGCATTGCGATTGCGATTGAATTGTTTTATGTGCTGCTATTTTAATTCGTTGTTTTCTCATTACAAAAGCAACCGAGCGCGTAGAAGCGGGTTCAGGGTATCCCCCAGTCGGAAGCTCCCGTCTAGAATCCCTTACTTGTTTCTATTTCCATATCTTAAATTGTCTTGAAAAACAAAAAACCGGCAACAACTGTTTATATTTCATACATATTACATTACAATAGCATTGGAACTAAAAAAAGCCTTGGGTCTTAATCAAAAATAAAGATGTCTGTACATTTAAGGGATCGGGGATGTTATCTTTAAAACGATTCACATTTAGTAGAGAGAGTAACAAGAGAGTAAGTTAAACATGTGTCAGTTATCGCAAGCGGCACGTTTTTTAAGTCAAACCAGAAAGCCCTCAGGGTCCTTATCATTTCTCAAAGAAAGTGTTCCCAACTGCTATCATACAGAAAATCAGAAGATGACAATTGTTTTTTTTTGGTTTTTTTGCTTGTTTGTTTGTTTGTTTGATTACAGCTAAGCAAACATATACTGATAGCAGTTTTCTAGAATTTCTCTATAAACAAAATGATTGAGTTACTTTTTCAATAAATTTTTCATATATTGAAATTGTTGAGCTGCAAATCGAAAGCCTTTCTAGTTAAGCAAAAAGTATGCTGGACTTCGAATGCCAATAGCTAATATTACATTAATAAATATTTGCTTAAGCCAGAAATTATATAATCTCCAACAATTCACGACTTTACTCGTTTATTTCAAAGCTGATATCACAGAAAGCTCCCATAACTAAAAGCGCCAATATCTTCAAGATTTTATTTGGAACATTGTTTTCCCACCAACATTATACTTTCCACAAGATATCACTTTTCCCTATTATCGTAGATTTCATTTAACTAAAGAGAGGAACTAAAAAAAACCTTCAAATATCGCAAAAAATTGTAAGATTAAGTTTATTATTTACAAAAACCAGCCACATTTGACTTAAGTTAGCAAATGCTTAATCTCCGTGTTTATTATCTGTCGATTTAGAGGCCATTAAAAATCAGGTAGTCTACGATCTCTACAGAATGTTGTCAAATGTCACCTGTTCCACTTCATAAACAAAATTAGCATAGAGCAAAAATTATAAGTCTTATAATCTTAGATAATATCAATAAATACGCCTCCGTTAACGGGCACGCCCACGCCCACAATTCAGCATTCCGTGTGCGCATAAAAAATAATTGAAAAACAAAAAAAAAAATAACCAATTAGCCGAGACGGGAAAAAGTTAAGAACCGATTGAGCACAATTACGCGCATAATTTAGAGGCGATATCGCGATGCCGAAGCAGCCAACGCGATTGCCGAACAGGTTCTATGTTTTGGGCCAAGTGAACGGAGGGGGTACGCAAAATGATTAGAAATTTAGTCACTTACCGCTCTTGAGACGATCGTTAATTAAATCCTCAATCAGCTGCGGGCATTCGCACTCGATCGCGTAACAGAACTGCTTGAACTTCTCGAAGCCGCTTTTGGCGATGATCTCTATGAGGTTGGCGCACTGCAGCCGCAGAATTTCGGCGTCGTTGAGAGCTTCAGTAGCTGCGCTGCCGTTGCCGCTGCCGCTGACCCCGCCGCCAACAGATGGCGTTAGTGAGCGATTGTCGCTCTGTGCGTGATCACCGTTGACACTTGCACTGCGCGAGGAGCCCGCCAAGCTGGAACTATAATCGCCGCCCACGCCGCTGACGCTGGCGCTGCCGCCGCTACCGCTGCCGCTGCTGCTGCTGGCGACAGCGCTCAGTTTGCGCTTGGTCAGTGCACCCACGCTGGAGGGTGCGCTGCCCGGCTCTGCAGCGGCCGCTGCTGCTGTGGTGGCAGCTGCTGTCGCATACGGCTTGAGCAGCAGATCCTCCTCGGACTGGCTGAGCACTGAGTTCTTGACGAGCACCGCCAGCAGATCTGTGCTGCCCAGATCTAGCATAATGCGTTCCTGGTGACGCGACAGCAACAAGCGCACTTCTTCCTCTTCTTCGCGCGTCATTTTGACGTTTTATTTGATTTGCTTCTTTATCTTCTGTTGCTCTTGTTTACAATGCACTTTTCTGTATTGCACTTTAACACTTTTACACACATACATATGCACACACACACTCTCACTATTGTTGTTGTTGTTGTTAATTAACATGCATATTCGTATTATTATTATTTAAATTTATATATTCTTAAGAACATGTATTGATTGTTGTTATTCGAAACGCAAAAAAACACAAACGCGCGCCATTTACTGGCGCTTACGCCGTTTAATTCGTTGCTCCGCTCGCACAACGTTCGTTCAACAAAGTCAGAAAGTAACTGAAAAACCGGCCTGGCTTGAAACAGCGACGAAGTGTCTCACACAGTCCTAACCTGAGAGCGAGAGAGAGAGAGAGATACAGAGAGAGTAAAACGCCCGCACAATACAGAGAGCGTAACGAACAGTGGCACAATATGTGTGTACTGCTGACAAATTCAAACGTTTAATAATTTCTTCTTACTATTTTATCGATTTAGATTAGTCATAAAAATAAGTAATTAAATTTGGGGAAACATTTTCGGAATGCCGAAACTTATGTTTGAAGAAGAAATATTCATTTGATTTTTTCTTGCGCTCCGGCATACCGAAGCCACTGTTCCCTGCTAGTAAATGTGGTTGGTTTCTCTTGCATTGCACTGCAGCTGCAATTGCAAGCGATAACAGTGTAATATTGTTGTATGTGTTAGCCATGGGTGTGTGCGTGTCCATGTGCGCGCTAGTGTGAAATAACAAAGTCAAACAAAACATAATTACATTTGTTTTGCCTCTCGCACTCTCTGTCTTTGAGAAAGCAAAGCAAAGCAAAAACAATGAATTTGCTTTTGCACTGTTAATCAAAATGTAAACTGAAATCGGGCATAACATAGGCAAATTGTAGAACTACAATGTAAAATGTTTAGAATAGAACCTTTTACAATAAAAATAATTAATTAAGTAAAACCTTTTGTTTAATAATATATTAATACATTAATAAAAATAACTAACGGCAATATCTTTCCGGGCAGAGTTACAAAAAAACTAATCAATTAAAGATTTATCGCAAGTCCTTTGCCGTCTCCACGCAAACATAAGGACACAAAGGACTCCAATTACACGTACTTGAGTTTACTTTTGGCCTGATTAGGCCCTTTGCCGGGCTCCGTAACAGATAATCGTAACAGATGTTGGCTCAGCCGTCAAGTAAACGGATAAGGATAATTATCCTTATTATAATTAAAGGAAACGAGTGATTGGCAAAATTTGAAAGCCGGAAACTTTCTGAACCAAGTGGCATAAAGAAGACAATTTGAAATTGTTAAGTCAAGGTTACTGATTAAACAGAAAGAAAACATTCTGAAATTTTATAGTACATTTCAGATAAATAGAATAAAATAGATTCAGTCAGTCAAATAATTATCAATCAGTCAGCCAATCAGTCAGTTAGTCACTCGGTCAGTCGGTCAACTAGTTAGACTTTCACTCAGTCAGTCAACCAGCGAGTCACTCAGTTAATCAATCAATCAGTCAATCGATCAGTGAATCAACCAGCTATTCAGCTACTCAGTCAGTCCATCATTTAGTCATTGAATCAATCAGTCAAGATGTTAGTTAATCTATGAGTCATTTAACCAGCCAGTCAACCAATAAATCAATCAGTCAATCAGCAAGTCAGGAAATAGCCAAGGCACTTAATCAATTTGTTGGTCAGTCAATCAATAGATCAATAAGTCAGTCAACTAGTTAGTCATTCAATCAGTCAGTCAAGCAGCTAGTCACTCATTCAATCAATCATTCAGTCAATCACTCAGTCAAACACTCAGTCAGTCAGGCTAGTCACTGACGGTCAATCCGTCAATCAACGATTCAGTCAATCAGAATGTTAGTCAATCAGTCAATCAATCTGTAAGTCAATTCAATCAATCAGTCAGCCTGTCAATCACTCACTCAGTCACTCCGACATCTGCTTTGGGTTCGATTGAAGAGACTTTGAAAATGTTTTGCACATTGTCTGCTTTGGGCTTGATTGACAGATTTGCAAGAGTGCGTGGAGAGAAAAATTTACCGCCTCGACTTATGGGCGACACTTTGCACGAGGCCGCATTTTCGCATAAATTATGAGGCAGACCTGTTCGGAGGGGGCGGCCAGTTACAACCACATAAATGTAGAAATATTTTCAATTGCAACATCAAGTTGATCGCATTGCTTGTGGCAAGTGCAAATTCCTTGTTGAATTTATGCAATTGAATTCAAATTTGTTTTGGCCATATTGTGGGTGGCCGCCACCTGTTTAGGAAAATATTCAAAATATTCAGGAAATGTCTTGCTCAGTAAATTGAACTCTTTGTGAACTAGTTTCTAGTTTTCCACATCAATCAATCACACGATAGAACGCCTATAAATATTATATTATATTGAGTGCAATCTTTTAAAGAGTAATTTTTTATTTTAAGCTACATTCTTCCTTAGCTCAAGTTATCTTTTAAGTTAATTGTTTTTATATAAAAATAAGTTTTCAAATCATTGATTGATTGATTGATGAAGAGTCTGTTATGTTTACACAAGCTTCTTTTGAGCTCGAAAGTCAAGCAGCAGCTAGAAGTTGGCTTAAATGTGGTTGAAAAATCTTATACGAAAATCTAACAGTTATGTTATTTAACAAATGCTATATCTTAAAAATCAGATCAATGATTGATGTTACTGATACAAATTTATCTAATACAAAGACCTGTGCTTTAAGTCTGATAAAACAAGTCAAGTCTGACAAGGACTTAAATCAAAGATTTTTTAAATTAAAAATTGATGTATGATGAATTGATGAATGTATTTCGAATGCGCCTAAGTTTTTATGCCAGCTAAAGGAACTTTTCTTGGCAATCACAAAATTTTGAAGTAAACTCGGTTAAGTTTTAGATATAAGACGAAGAAGACTACGGCAGGGTCTGAGATTTTTGCATACAACTTTTTCCAGAAAAAACTAACTAGTTTTTCGTTATGTAATGCCATCAGTAAAAGATGAAGTAAAAGTGTCGAAGATGACAAACAGAATACGCCCTATAAAAACACACGCCAGTCTAACTGTCGAACCTCAGACATCCCCCTCTACCCCCCGTGCCATGTGGGCTCATGTGGGATTATGGTTGCAAACAAGTGTTGAGGCAAGTGTTATCAAATGGGCCACATGCCACTTGGCCGGTGCCCGTTTTGGTATTCCGCGTCACGTCTCTGCAGCTTCCTCAGCAATTAGGAGATTTGGTCCAGGGGCTTAAAGCGCTGCCCCACACACACGCCCGTCCGTCCGACTGCTGTGTCTGCTGCGTTTCCTTTCTTCTTCCTGGTTCGAGAGCGGGCGGTGGAATGGGAAGGGGTTGGTGGAAGGGGGGTGTGTGTTGGTCATCCATCAATGCTGTCGGCTTACCCTCAAGCGAGTCGTCTTGTGTCTGCAGCCCACTTCCACCAGGTGAAATGCTGTTCGATAATCATCTGGGGAGTTGTGAGGCATCTTATTATCCGGTAGTCAATTTCAAAATTGCCGCAGCACGTGGTTATATTCCACTCATTTATTATTTCGTAATTACTTAATACGCGTGCATTGCTTATCTGCCGGGAAAACGAAAAGCCAGCTGCCAAGCGTCTATCTTGGTGTGAAGAAAACGCAGCTGATTCCTTTAACATTATAGGCTTAAAGGTGGCACTTATTTTTAATTATTGCACATTAAATGCTTAAAAAAAAAAAAGAAATATATTTTTAGTGTCAATAATTTTTCTTATCAACGAGCCTTTTTGTTACTTCATCGTCTAGTCCCAGAAAATATTCCATGAAAAAAAAAAATAAAAATAAAAATAAATTAAGAGCACGTCGTTAATAAAAATATTTAAGAATCATTGACCATTGATAAAAACTAAAATATTTTATATTTAAAAAATATATATATGTTATGTTGGAATATTAATTTCAATCGTTGGATTTTCAAGGATTCTTAAACTCAATGATATAGGAAGAAAAATAAATGAAAAAGAATTAACTACATTTTATATTTAATGTAAATCAATACAATATAAATAGAAAATAAATCTATTACAACTTTTCACACTTTTTCCCATATTAACTTATTTATGTGACGAATTTCAAATAGTGAGCTACCCTAATGCATGCAATAGCCACAAAGAGTTAAAGCACACAGGCCGATAAAGTGCAGCTATTGCAGCGTGCAAAAGTCTCCAAATGCGCGCACACACCGAAAGATGAATGGAGGGGGCGCAATAATGATAATGCACATGGCAGAGCGAATGGAGAATTCATTTTCGACACAGCGATGGCGACATTCAGAAGTGAATTCAACAGCGTGCCGAACACTTACAACCAGCGCCTGACGGCATTGAAGAAAAAGCTGACCACGTGTTTTCAGCAGTGGCGACAGCAGCTGCTCAAACTTCACCAACAGCAGCAGCAGCCCAAGCAACAGCAACAGCAACAGCAACATCAATCCCAACACCAACACCAACAGCAACAGCAGAAGCAGAAGCAACGTGGCAGTGAACATTTCTACAACATTTTTGTGCGCGCGGACTGCTCTATTTTGAGCGAAAAAGTTACCTATTTGCGCAAGTTCAAGAGGATTTTCACAGCGCGCCAGAATTTGGCGAGTGCTCGGACAGCAGCAACAGCGGCATCAGCCAAACAGCCAGTGCTTGGCAGGTGCATTGGCCAGGAGGAGCAGCAACTGCAAATAGTGGCAAGCCTCTTCTCATCAACATTGATATCGAAGCACAGCTCCAGTGCAAGTATCACCAGCTCCAGCATGACCATCATGGACAACACCTATATTGGGGTGCGCGACGAGTACCCCGATATTGATACTGAAATACGCTCCATACTGCTGGCTAATGCCCAGAATGGTATCACGATATCGAGCATCAAAAGTAAGTCTGAATCGAAGTGAAAAGCCTGGCCCACCTGCTGTTAAACTAATCTACATTATAAATTTTAACATGCGGTTTTTCATATTTAACCTTTTTCATTAGTTTTTCAATTCTTATTGACCTTTTGAGACCTTAACTAGGCATGCCCCGAAAATAAAATTCCCTTAATCTCCCTTAATCTGCCTGACTGACTAAATGGCGATCAAAGATTTGTTAGGCTTCGTTTTGCGTACAAATTCAAAGATCTACGAAAAGATCAATTTAAACGTGTTTCACAATTTTTGTAGAATACAAGCATTATCGGTGGAAATGACTTAAGTTATATCCGACTTGCTTTAAGCTTATTGTCAAATCTCTACATAAGGACCTAATGAATTTGTGTTTCGACTTTTCCACCCGCAACAGTGGTAAAACGGCGGAAAGCATCCGATTCTTGTTTCGCATCCGATCGACTACAAAATCATTTTCAAAGAGCTTTGTGATCTTTGAGAAATTTCAAACTTTTCGATGGATGTTGAAAGCGAGTACATGGTTATAAGGGCGAGGCTTTAAGACTTTAAATACTTTCACATCCTCTGCACTCTCAGAAATCTGAATAGTTTCCATTGGGCCAAGACAATCCTAGAATATATCTACCGGGAATGGCAATCTGTATTTGTTTTTGGTTTTATTCCAAAGTTAAATAATTTCCTTTGGCTCGACCTGCTTCTAGAGGAATATCGACAATTGACGGGCACGGCATTTCCGCTGCACGACAACATCACGGACTTTCTGCTTACCATACCGCATGTCACGGCAGAGTGCTGCGAGTCTGGGAAGCGCATCTTTAACATCAAGCCCACCGAGCATACCCGCCATCTGCACGAGATGATACTGCAGCAGCGACAACGCGACAGTGTGAGCAACCCAATCCAAGCACAGGAGCCGCCACGCTTGTGGCGCGCCCAGTACAAGCGGCGAATCCCACAGCACTTCAACTTCAATCTAAATACAAGTGAGAAGCCTCCAGCCGTCAAGATATCCAAACTGCAGCCCCTGGCCACGGCTGCAGCGATGTCTAACGATGTCTATCAGGACAACTGGAAACATCTGTAAGTAGCATCCAATGGAAGAAACTAAACAGTTGCGCCTATTTACCACCAAAAAATATACCCATGCAAACTCGGAGGACTCCTCCTCCGAGGAGAAGTTCTCCGTTGAAACACATCTCACATAATCATGAATTAGCAATCAACAGTTTTTCGCCCATTTTCCGCACACTTATTACCCATTTACATCGGTCATATTATTAATATGTAACCCCCTGAAAGATACTATTGTTTTTCTATATAAAAAAAGAAAATTTCCAAATGTGGAGAAAACTCTACCTTTGAAAAGGTTGCCAGCGGATAAAACTTTGGCGTTGCCACCTTTTATACAGCACAACCGTTGCCGACACAGGAGAACTTAAGGAAATAGAATTTTTATTGATTTGATCAAACCATTTTTGTGCACTTCATTTGCAGCAACAATCAGTATCAGCTCCCTCAGCTCAATGCTGCCAAGAATAACATCCACTCCATCGCTTCGAATCCTGCACAGTTACAGGCAGCACTGCCGGCAGAGCATCATCCATCCAAACACGTGGAGGAATATGCGCACAAGCGGCGTCATGAATATACGCCCACGCCAACAACGTTGTCGTGTCCATCAACGCAACATGACTCCATGTTCACCATCAACTCGGACTATGATGCATATCTATTGGATTTTCCACTGCTGGGCGATGACTTCTTCTTGTATTTGGCGCGCATGGAGCTGAAATGCCGCTTCAAGAAGTGTAAGTACAAGGCATGGCATGGAGTTGATTTCTGCTTATGCTGCTCTCTCCCCTACAGTCGAAAAGGTGCTGCAGTCTGGTCTGTGCATCTCTGGACAAACCATAAATGCTGCACGGCAACGGTTGCGCCTGGTGGAGCTGCCAGAGATGACACAAATTATTGTTAACATCGGCTCCGAGGACATAATGCGCGGCAGGTCGTTGGTGCAGATCGAGCACGATTTCCGTCTGCTAGTGAAGGAGATGCACAACCGTAGATTTGTGCCAGTGCTGACCACCTTGGCACCGCTGGCCAACTGTCGCCACGACAAGCAGACATGCGACAAGGTGTCCCGATTCAACAAGTTTATACGCAGCGAGGGGCGACATCTGAAAGTGATTGATATACACTCATGTCTGATCAATGAGAATGGCATCGTTCGATTCGATTGCTTCCAGAAGTAGGTTACTAGATATATCTGTGTATACTATATATCAGGGCTGCAAATCAACCGACTCCATTCCCTATGGTTCGGCTCGTAATCCTGTCTTTCGCATCTATGAAAGGAGAGCTGTTGTTTCTTATAACTCAATTTTTCCGACAACAAGCGTGATTAGATAAATGCTAAGGATAGGACTCAAGCTTAAGCAGCAACGTTTATTTTTTGTACCGAACCATTTCATAATATAAATAATAGTTTGATTAGGTTTAAGGTTCAGCTACAGGTTAAGCTTCAGGTTTGCAGCCTTGATCAAAAACTATATTACACAAATTTCTAAATTTCTATATACATTTTCCAGCGGGCCACGTAGTGTGACGGGCTCATCTGAGCCGTATGTATTCTGGAACAAAATCGGACGGCAGCGTGTGCTGCACATGATTGAAGAAAACTTGGAGTATTATTAGAGCTGAGCTGGACTGGAGGAGGAGTGGTGCCGGTCTGGCACCAGGCACACGTTTTACAACTATTTCAAAATTGACGGCACGCTGTTTGCTCTAATTTTTGTTTTTAAGCCAAAAATTGAATTTGGAATGTTAATTTTTAATATGTTTTATGTGCGTTTCGTTCTGTGTTAGTCTTTAGTCCGTAATTCTATGTGATAAATATGTTACATGTTTGTATGTTCTATGTGTTCTTTGTGATTCCCCTACTCTATCTATCGCTTTCTATTGTAAAGTACATTTTGTTATATCTCGAATTTTGACCAATTGTTTTTGCTGCTATCCCAAAAGCATTGGCCAAAATTCGTAATATAACAAAAACATTTTTTTTTGTATTTTTCTCAAATATTTTTTCCTAGCATTTTTCCAAGTGTTGCACGCACAGAGCTCAATGGAAATTGCTATAGACTGTGTCCCAACTCTCTGTTTCTTATGCCAGCTTTGCCCATGCTCATGTATAAGAACTGATCTACTCTGTGCATCAGCGAATATATACATCTGAGCCATGTGCCAAGTTGGTGTCATGAAAATGCATTTGCTTCACTTATAGCCTGGCTTGCACAAAATCAATACCGCGGTTGATTTTATAAATGTGTTTAGGTCAATTTTAAGTGAAACAATTGCCTTATTTTCGTGTTTTCGTCTTGAAAGTTTATTTAAATTTGTACACTGTATATTTAGCACGTTCATAAGTGTGCGCGCTGAGGCGGCGTGTTTTCTTACAGTGTACTTTCCTAGAATGAGTACTCAAATAGTTGCCTTTGTACAAAGATATATACACAAATTCGTCACTATTATAATTATAAACTTATTTATTTTCTTGTATGTATGTTAAATGTATGTGATGATGTAACTTTTTTTTTTTTGTATGTCCAACCATAACAAGCTATGTAAAATCCAAAAAAAAATATGTAAAAATAAATGAAAACAAAAATTAAAAAACCATGTTATGTAATTGATAATAATGTTGATGTTGAATGATCAGATTACAAATTACAATTAATCGTGTATGAAATACTTTTATGCGGAAGGCAATAGAAAATTTTTGAACATTTCTTTATTTTTCTTCGATGATCTGTGGTATTTTCCTTATATAATAAAGGAAGCACAAACTTTTTTATAAATACGTACAATTTAATATCAAACTTATGTTTCACTTAGAAAATAAGATAGAAAAAGTTATTGCTCTACATTTGCCGCCTTCTTCCACTTACATAAAATGTATAGAAAAAGCTACACAGAACAACTTTTTAAGCATAAGTCCATTAATTTAAACTTAATAAATTTTAAGTTATTTTAAAAAATTGTGCCTGTTTTCACTTGTCCAAGATCGCCGACTTGGAAAATGTGTAGAACAGCGATTCGATTTGATGTTTTTTAAACATATGAAAATGAAGCTCTTGATCGCTGTCAGAACGCCAACCGCATAGCTCACACAATGCCGGATCAATGGGTTCCGTGTGCGACTCAGTTAAATGTCGCCGAAACTCGGCATACGATGAAAAATTAATGGGGGACGTACTGCTGCCGCAGGACAGACATATCCAAGGCCCTTAAAAAAATAGATAAATATATATGTATTCGTCAATTTAAGTACATTGCGTACCTATGCTGTTATCAGCTCCAAGAGAACTGGGCGCCTGCAATGCCTTGCAGCCAATACGTCTCGGACTTGGAGTATTGCAACTGACTTGTACAAGTGAACTGTTTTCTAGCAGCGATTCACAATCAGATGATGAGCTGGGGTTCATGTATCTCTGCAGCTTTCGCTTGTATTTTGCAATGGTCTCGTCCCGCTTCTCGTTGCCATTCAGAAGCATTTCGTTGACCGCAGTCAGAGCATTCACGTGCGCGTCGCGGTGCTCCAGCTGACACTTGAGTTTGGCAAGTTCGTCTTCTAGCTAAAAGGATGCAGACAAGTGAATTATAAAGCTGAGGCAAGGATGGTCCATACATTACCTTGGAGCACTTCAGTTTGGCATTAACACTATCTGCTATGTCGTCTTTGATAGCATTCAGCGAATTCGTCAACAAAGCATTTGCCGCTATCAGCTTTTGGTTAGCATTAACCAAATGCTCCTCATTCTGTAAAACTATTTTCAGCTGGATTGCTTGTTCCGCTTTTACATTTGACTCCCGCTTCAGTTGTGACTTGAAATCACTTAGCTCATCTTTGGCAGCTTTTAGCGAATTCGTCAGTCTGGTGTTTTCCGTGAGCAGCTTTTTGTTTTCTTCAAGTAAGTCCGTCTCCCGCTGCAAAACAGTTTTCAGCTGGATTGCTTGCTTACCTCTTGCATCCAGCTGCGATATCAGTTGGCATTCCAAGCCACTGATCTGGGCAGCTAAGTTTAAATTCGTTGTTTGTACACCTTGGGTATACTGCACACTTTGGCTGGAATTCCAATTGCCATATGCACACCAGCCCATGGTTGGATTGCGAGATGAATTATTTTGCAATGGCATTGCATATAATGGGTAATAAGTCGCCTGGCGCCATTGAACATTTTGATAAGCCATTTTAATGCGCACCTAAACTATATTTAGGGTACACAAAATATATTAATAATAAAATTATTCCATTGTAATAATTCCTTTTAATCATCGTTGGTAACGAACGCCCAAGTGAGTCGCTGGTGTTATTTCTCTTAGTATTGGTTATTCTAATTCCGTTTTTTGGCATTCTTAGAACTGGGTTTTTTACCTCTCTCGTCTTTAATTGGTTATTTAAAATCCCAATTTCTTAAAGCGTTTATCAGCGATTATATATTTATATACAATTATTTATAACCATATTTTTCGCGCGTTCGCATCAAGACATGAAACCGATTTCATTATTATAAATATCGATAGGTCGGACTGTCGATACTATTATTGGAAATGAGCTGGAGTATGCGATGAATGCTAAATAACACCTTAACACACATGATCTACACAATATGATTGAACTATTAATTATACCACTAGTCCGTCAACTATTCTATATAATTTAAATCACATTTGCTTATTATAAAATGTCTCGATTTTACCCAGTTAAATATCGATTGCGTCAGTCTATCGACATAACAGCGTAAACAGCTGCTTGCGAGTGTGCCCGTATATAAAAATACTAAAACCAACATCGATAACAAATTTGTTGAATACATCTCAGAAGGCGAGCGAAGTAAGTAGCTTATTTGTGTCGAAATAAGTGCTAACAAATTTAGATCAGTTTTTTACATTTTAGTCGAAAATGGCTTCTTTTTTGGCGCGTGCAGGCGGTACCCTTATCGAATCAGTAAAACCCAAGACAGTTACAAAGGTGAGTCTCGTGCTACATACCCAAATGCACAACTTTTCGTGGTACATTTACATAATTGCAAAAAAGCAACAAGAACCAACAACAAAACGACAAGGTGAATGCGGCTCTCATGCGGGAGAGCGCAGCACAGAACAGCCACCTGACTGGCGGTCTTTTCGATCAATGTATACGTGTGTGTGACGCAACGCCTAACTGTGTGAGATACAATTGGGACCTTGAACACGGAATAGCCGCAACATTGATCTCTTTTATCAATGGGGGCCAATGGGTAACTGTTGTCGAGCCCACAAATTAAGAATTTAATCTATGCGAATTAGATTTGATTAACATCGCGACGCGTCGCTCCAAACCCCCCTTGTTTTTTTTTTTTTGCAAATTCCGATTTTGTTTCTGACCTACAAACATAAATACGTGCCCATTTAATGCGTCATTGCGTTAACCCGTTTTTTTTTCAATCAGTCTCGTGACTTTCTGCTTACTTTAAGATTTTACTGTCTCTTACAGATCCTTAATTATACTCCCATTGGGCTGCAGCAATTAAGAAACCTTAATGTGCAGGAGCATGTCTCGTACACTCTGCTCAACGAAAGTAGCATCCCAACACCTCGGTAAGTGCACAAAAGACAATAATAAATGTATAAATAAACGGTTCAAAGTACAACCAACATTTGTTGTACGACCGCTTCATGGACTTTGACTGCAATCACTTATATATACATACATATAAAAAAAACAAACTAGATTATGATTTGCATTTCTTTAATGCAAATTAATAGAGCGACAGATCAGCAGATGATGTTTCGTTGATAACATTTAATTTGAACCATATTAGAATACAGAAGAAAAATTTAAATATATAGACAGCAGTCCGCGTAACCTTGGGGTAACAGAAATTTGCATTAAATTCACATTTACACGTCCAATTTTACAAATATGTTTTTGAGTTATTCGCTGATAAGAACTGTTGACGTAGATGTCCTTATCAACCACCATATGTTGGATTTTGTACACTTGGTCATAAAAGTCGGGCAAGCTTCAAATATTGCGCCAGCTCAGATGATTCATTGCTTCTTTTCAGGTTTGCCGTTGCCAAGAACGGCAAGGAGGCCCATGACATTGCGCAAAAGCTGAAAACAGATAATCTGGTGCTTAAGGCGCAGGTTCTTGCCGGTGGTCGTGGCAAAGGTACATTCAAGAATGGCCTCAAGGGCGGCGTTCGCGTCGTTTTCAGGTGAAAATAAATATCCATCAGTGTATAGTTTGTCATACAGTAACTTTGTAATTTATCCAGTCCGGAATCTGCAGAGGAATATGCCACCAAGATGATCGACCAGCTGCTAGTCACCAAACAAACGGGCGCAGCGGGCCGCATCTGTAAGAAGGTAATGGTCGCCGAACGAAAGTTTCCCCGCCGTGAGTTTTATTTTTCCGTAATGATGGAACGCGCCTTCAACGTAAGTGCAAAAATGAGACAATAATTTGGTAAATAAATGTATTAATTTGTTTTAATATTTTTTAGGGCCCTGTACTGATTGCATCCAAGGAGGGTGGCGTTGACATCGAAGAAGTTGCCAAAGAAAATCCCGAGGCCATCATTTACGAGCCGATCGACATTGGTAAGGGACTCACCAAGGAGCAGGCCTGCAAAATTGTTGATAAGGTTGGTCTGGGCGGAAGCTCTGCCGATGAACATATCCAGATGCTTCTTAACTTGTACAAGCTGTTTGTAAAGAAGGATGCGCTCTTGGTTGAGATTAATCCCTATGCCGAAGATGCTATGACTGGCTGTAAGTTAAGTTTTTATTGAACAAGTCTTATGTGTTTCATGCATAATCTCTGTCGCCTTTCCTTAACAACTAACTCATTTACCATCCATATTACGATTACTTCATTGCAATTACTATACTAATGCTGCATGATGTGGGTCTATAAAGGCTGTAAGTACTACTTTAAATATATGCTTGCTAGTTGAAATCTTCAAAACACGACACTAACATTGTGAAACAATGACCCAATAATGACATGACAATAGACCCAAATAAATAGTTTACGCAACAGAAAACGGAAACGTTACATAGATGCCAGATATAGGGCCCGGAAATACCTTCTCTACAAATTCAAGGGAACTATCTGCAGTAAAATCGCCAAATTCGTCCAGTCTTGACGACTGGATCACCTTTTGATTTTGGATCTCCGTTTGATTTTTGGATATCCATCCAGTAGAACGGGTTTTAAGAACAACTAGGCTTCAACCTAATCTAGGCTATATATAAAGTGTTTACAACTTCAAAATAGGAAATTTGAATTTTATTTTATATATAACCTAATTGCTCTAAAAGACGATACATTTTTGCCCATATATATTTATATTATGCTGGTCAATCAGACAAGGATCTCTGGTTGATCTTAATCCTGGTCGTGCAATCATTAAACAACCCTTTTATTTTGTAATATATAATTAACATAAACATATTAAATTGTAGTGCACATACTAACACAGCATATGTAATTGGATGATTAAAATAAATTTGTTGCCCTTTTTAGTCTTCGCCCTCGATGCTAAATTGCGTTTTGATGACAATGCCGAGTTCCGTCAGAAGGAGCTGTTCAGCATGCGCGACTGGACCCAGGAGGATCCCAAAGAGGTTGAGGCGGCCAAATACAATTTGAATTACATTGCTCTAGATGGTACCATCGGTTGCATGGTGAATGGTGCTGGCTTGGCCATGGCAACGATGGATATTATCAAGTTGTACGGCGGTGAGCCGGCAAATTTCCTTGATGTTGGCGGTGGCGCCACAGCAGAGGCTGTGAAGGCGGCATTCAAGATTATTACATCGGACAAGAAAGTCATGTGTTTATTGGTGAACATTTTCGGTGGTATTATGCGTTGCGATGTCATTGCTGAGGGTATCATTGCGGCCGCCAAGGATCTGAATCTGAACTTGCCAATTGTCGTGCGCTTGCAGGTAAGTGTCCCGAATTGGCTCCAAAAGTACATACAATTTTCTGATGTACTTTGTGTATTCGTTTGTAGGGCACCAAAGTGAAGGAGGCTCGCGAACTAATACGTTCATCGGGCTTGAAGATCTTGGCACGTGATGATTTGGACAAGGCTGCCGATTTGGCTGTGCATTTGGCGCAAATCGTTTCGCTGGCACGCGAAATGAACATGGATGTTAACTTTGAGATCCCCGATGCACAAAAGTAGATCAACCCAATAAACGGCTAAGTCAACCATAAAAACCACGGATAACACAAACGACAACATAAACACAAAAACACTCATCTACTCAACAAATTAGATACAATTAATATAAAGCTACCTACAATTGCTTAGTAGTTAGAAATATTTGATTTCGACTAGTCGAATTAAAATAATTGAATCATTTTGCAAAAATCTGTTAAACCATAAGCTGAGGTTAAACTCCGATCGTTGTTGTGTCATTTTGAAAAAAAAACCATGCCGTAACATTTAATTACTTCGAATAATCCTAAGAGCTAAAAGTTTCTTGCACCTGTCAAACATTATAAGCGTAAAAACAAATATATTGTTATTTGCACGAAAATTGAATACAGCTGAAACATAAACGTAACGTCGAAAGTGATTTTTGCAAAACTCAATTAATTTATTTGAAATGCAAACTGCTTAAAAAGTAGTATGACGTGTATTATGCAATTTAAATTAGTTTGCTTTAAATTAAAATTCACTAATCTTAAAAAGCCGTAGCACTTTATTTGTAAATTCTGTTCTTTAAAACCCATTTTATGTTGACAAACCGAACTCTAATTATTTTTATTTATTTATTTCACGAAAGAGTTTGAACGAACATTTTATCATAATATCATCAACTAATATACAATTCTATAGGGACAAGTGCAAAAAAGATCAAAAAAAGGAAGAAAAGAAAGATCAATGCAAGGATAAAAAGAAATAAGATGGAGAAACTGAAGACGATTAAAATCGGTTTGCATGCCAAGTTTCATTCAATATAATCAAGGAATCAGGGGGAAGCTGATGAAATAAAATCGAGAGTGGAATTCTTAAAACACGAATACCGGACGAATACCCTTAATCTGCCGATGGATACGGGGGCGTGCAAAAAATTTAAATTAATAAATTTAACTTCTTTCATTTTTCCAAAATTATCATATAATCAAAATTTTCTATATATTATAGGCAAATTCTTTAATATGATAACCGCCAACGGACGTTTAATTTATATTGTTATTTCATTATAATAGCTGGTCATTGTAGGGGGGAGAGAGCTGCTCAGAAACGATCTACTAGAGAGAGTATATGCGTTTGCTCCTGTTCTCGCCAGTCGGTGTCGCCGTCCCCCAAATTGCCAGCGTATTCTACAAATAGAGGTTAAAAAGATGAACTTTGCCTTTGTATTAATATCGGGGCGTGCTTACCTCGCATTATACTCCTAATTGTCTTCATAGAGGCGCCGCGCAAGTTAAGAATTTGCAGCACGCGTTGCTTCACCGTTTCCGTGGTGGCACTGACCTCCAGCAGGATGTAGTCGATGCGCTGCAGCGTAAACAGACCACCTGTTAAACGCTTTATGTAATTGTTTTCGGCCTCCTCATCTTCGTCAATGCTGGCATCCTAATAAATAATAATCTTTTAATATACTCAACTTTACTGGAAAATTATATATTCTGCAAATGTGCAGCTATAAATTCTAGTTAACCAATTCTTAGATGTTCTTTTTGTGGATTTTATAAAGTTGATGTTCTGGGTGAAATATAGACGGAAAACATATACATCAACTTGCTGTGTATTTTAAATTGTTTCCAAACATTGGTGTATTTGTGCTACTAAATAATAACCATTTCTAAATAAAAATATGATATTATGGTCGAAACGACAAGAACCTTCAGCCTAATTGGCATATTACAAAATTCCATCTGAGCGAAATTAATTTATGGACTTAAGGCTTACCTTGGGTTGCTGATCTATTTCCCTGTCGATGGCCTCCACCTTAGCCAAATACTTGAGATGTAGCTCCAGCAGGCGATCAACCTTCTCGTGATCGTTTTCGGTAAATTTGGCCAGCATGCGCTGACGCTGTGTGCCCTTGCAGTTGCGCAACATAGAGGCAATCACAGAGCAGACATGCTCCTCGTGCTCGTCCACGGAGAGAAGGCGTTGCTTATTCCGCTTTGGCGTTTTCATGAATAACGGAAAAATGGTGCGTAGACCAAGAATCTCAACAAACTTGTTGCAATTCTCTCGTCCATCCTGGCCGGCCATGGCATGATCGAGCACCTTAAGCGAACCATTACGCGACATTTTCTTTTCGCGTAGCATCAGATTCATGAGCTGCAAGCCCTCACCGTTGAGGAATCGATCGCGATTCTCGCGTGCCATTAGCGCCGAGCACATACAATTGAACAGATTGGACATATACTCCTGCTCCTCGTTGCTGGCCGGATCGTGACGCTTGTATACGGCTAGCTGCTGCAGTAAAACGTCCACGCCGTCCAGTGTGCCTAACAGCAGACGATTCTCGTTTTCTGTCTGTATCAGTATGGACAATATCTCGCTGCAGTATAATTTGTTTGGATCAAAGGGTGATTTGCCCTTGAGCCGCTTAAGTAACCAAGCCAGTAGACCCTGTGTGGCCGCCTCGCGCACAAACTCGTTATCTATTTCGGTCAAGTTCTCAACAATAGCGAGCGTATTGTGCACGCCATCGGCTTCTTCCTTGACCTGCTCGTTAAGGCGGTCTAGATTCTGCACCAGCAAGGCACAGATTTGCTCCTTACGCAAAGCCTCGATTAACGCCTCTGCTCCCTCGCTGCTCTCACCCAGAATATCTACATCAGTGACCTCTTGTAACAGATCGACGACCGCAACAGCAATGTCTGTGTTTTGATGTGCCAATAGCTCGAGCAGACTGTGCAGGCCATGCAGCTCGACGAGCAGCGGATAAAGATCCGGCACTGTGGCGACTGCTTTTAGCTCTTGTATTACCGTGTGCAGATCAAGTTCCGAGTCCATGAATTTTTCCGGATTATCGGAGAATTTTATGCGCATTTCTTGATTTTTTAGGTTTCGCTTCTCGAACACGAGTATGAGCTTCTTAAGGCCTTGCTCGTCTAGCGCATCGCCCTCGGCCTCTTCGCTCTCCACATATTTCAGTATGTTGAGACGCTCCTCCTCCGTTAACTCTGGATCAAATTCAAATGAGCTGCTCGCGGCTGTTCCTGATCCAGATGTGCCGTCATGTGGCTTCTTGTAGTTGGCTGTTTCCTTAGCTTCCGCAATGCGACGCATTCGCTTAGCCTTTTCATCGCCGCCGCCGCCGCCCCGTTTTCCAATATCGCTGGTCGCCGGCTCTGGCAGCGCGAAATCATCGTCGTCTTCATGTGGTCGCTTCGGCGTCTGCTCAGGCTGTTGTTATATATATGCATAATAGATCTGTTAATTGGCTGCGTATCCCTGCAATGTACATACTTGCTTTAAATGCCAACAGTTCGCCAATATCCATATTCAACCAGCAAATTCAATAAACATCAATGCCAGTTGTACAATTGACATCGATACTATGAAGTATCGATACTAAAAATATTTCGTAAATATGAGAACTATCGTTGGCTAGCGATCTATCGATAAGTATCACAAGCTAAATGGCAGCGATAGCCGCGCTTTTTTAAACACAAAAAAAAGTAATCCATTTCCGTACAACATTTGGAATTCAGAAGAATAATTGTTGACCTGTAATAACTTTTGTTCTGCCAAAATGTTATAAGTGTTTGTTTCTTCTTAAGAAACAGCGTTTTAGAATCGACTTTAAATGTATTGATACTGATATACTGTGCGCAACTTTGAAAGTAAATAAGAGGCTCTTTAAAGTAGGCAAATCCAATTGGTTCGGCGACTCAATCCGAATCACATTTTCATATCCGCTGTCGCGAAATATTTAAGTAAATTAGTAGACCATAAAAAAGCATTTGAATTTTCACGTCGTTTGGAATGTTATATTATAATTTAAAGAATCATAAATTAATACAAAATTAATAATTAATCTAATTGATGAGAAAGAGCGCAGAGATTGGAAAAATGGTTATACAAAATTACGTAAGACATTCAGGATAGTCGGAAGTTCAAAAGACACTCAAAGAGTAACTAGCAAAGAGTATATGAGCAGCACCGAAACGAACAAATCTGTTCGCACAGAAGCACATACATTCACATACATACACATAAACATATATATGCATATATGTGGTAGCTACATAAAATATCATTTTTGGTTTATTTGGAGTCGCTGCTCGAGGCTCCAACTCCACACGTAATTCCAGATGCTACTTTCGTCTGAGTTTGAGCGTTTTAGATGCGCAGATTGGGATTTGTGTAGCGCACATACTTCAGCAGAGCATCGTTCTCCTCGCAGACGAAGGACTTCTTGTGGTGGCAGGCCACGTCGTGCCAGTTAACACCATCATTGTAGAACTGGTTAAGCAGGGCCAAACAGTTTTCGGGTGCGCCGTTTTGTTTGAATTCACGGTTATCGGGCTGGGGCAGGCCAATGCCGCCGGTGGGCGACCAATCGCCCTGGGAACGCTCTGTGGTGGGTGCCAACTTCTGCAGAGTAGCGGTCCAGAACCAACCGTTGATGTTCGTGGGCTGCAGATCGGGACGTTCACAGCCCTTGAAATCGCACAAGCGACCGCTGGTCCAGATATATTTCACCTGCAAGAACGAAAATAAAATGCTTTAAGCACGTGCGCACAAATGAAAGAGAAAAGTGTAACCTATAACTAGAAATTGAGAAAGTATGCGAAAGAATTTAAAACTCTAACTTATTTTGAACAAAGAAGGCGTATAAGAAAAAAGAAAATCTGGTTTAGGTTTTAAAGCTCATGATCTAAACTTGGCTAGTTCAAGTTCATTGCTCTGGCCGATGCTCGAATTCAAATTTTCCGTTAGTTTGTTTTATTGTACGCACGAATATGCGTTGGCACCAATTGTTGCTGGTAGAAATTTAAGCTTCGACATTTGCTGCTTTGCCAGTTTAAGGCATGCCCCTGTAACAAAGCTAGTCAGACAGCCAGCCAGCGGCTATAATGGTGCCATTGAAAGCGAACCCATTCCAAGTCGCGCCCTTTGTGGCCGCACCCGTTGGCGGCGGGTTTCGTTGAGCGGCTGTCAACATTACAAGAGAGCCATGGACAGCGACAACAACCGCAATGTTCATCAGTCACTTTCACCCGAATGGCCATAAAACTGTTTATTTTTTATTGTATATACATGTGGTATTAACGTGCACACACAATATACACTTACACACATACACCTGCCGTCATTGAGTGCTTGATGCTGCCCTTTGAAAAACTCCATTGAGCGGAAAGTTAAAAATTAACTTGGACATGGAATTGTTGTCTATTGTTGCTGCGGGCCTCGCCAGCATTTTATTTGTTTTGGTTTCAATCAATCAATGCATTGCGGAAGCTAACAAATGCACTTGCTTTATTTGAACGTGTGACGGGAAATGTTTGGCTCTTAAATCTGATACGATGTAAAGTAAAAGTGGAGCGTGCATTAAAAACCTTTGAATCGATTAGTTTAAGAGGCTTATCTGCGTATTCGTAAAATGACTTAAAAGAAATACCCCAATATGAAAGCCAATGGTCTTTGTAATTGTATGCGCTGCACAGAGCTAAAGACTAGCCAAAGAAGTTTCTCAAATAAATAAAAGTGAAATTTATTATTATGATACTATAAACCTAAAAGCAACACATTGAATACTCGTTGTTGTGTTTAGCTTCGCTTAACAATTGCAAATTTAATTATGGTTTAGCCACAGCCAGCTGCTAATAGCAGCAAGTTTGTTGCCTAAGTCTTTTGTTTTGGCATTGGCAATGATTCGTGTGGAAACCGCAACACTTCCTCTTTTCTATGGCTGTGCACTATTGTGGACTGTTAACTAAACATATGCATATTGATTTGTTGTTATTGTTAAATTGTATTTCCTTGGCTGTTTCCTCACACTCACTTTCGTTTTCATTACAATTTCAATTGTTTCTCACGTAAGTCAGAGACGCTGCCGGCCGGTCGCTGGTCAGCAGCAGCCACTGGAATTACTTGACACTTGTCTGTCTTTATGTTGCATAAGACACAAATCGTGTGCGCAACAACAACAACATCAGCAGCAGCAACAAAATTGCCAGGCAAAGGAAAAAGATAAATCGCTATGAGACGAAAACAACTGAGAAAGATTTCATGTAACTTTACATTGAACTTGATTGTCCATTATATATTTATGTGTAATCGCATTTAACTGGAACTCCGCTTACTTTGGCACACTTTCAGCCAGATTTGCATGTGACTGCCTCAAAATTAGCGCACACTTTAAAAGCGCGCGAATTTTCAAACCAGACGTGACACAATATCAGACAAAAGACTTAAATATTTAATTTAAGCTCGTAACGCATCATAAATTATTTCCAATTTCATCAAGTTTTGTTGGACGCAAATTATAAATTTAAAACTTGTAGTATTATTTATATTTAAGATTATTATTATTTTTTCTTTTTTGTGTCAGAAAGGTGTCAAAAGCTTTATTGATATTCAGTTGAGGTTGTTTATATACGTATGTATATTTGACTCTCAGTTTTAATCAATCGCTTGTAAGCAAACTATTTATTGGCAGCAACAATGCCATGCATATGTAAATGTTTTTCTGTTAAGCTAGGCTTATTGGTTTAGTGTTTTGTTTTTAGGGATAAGACCAACAAAGCTGTCATATTTATATGAGTTGAAAAAAAACTTACATTTTCGCCTACAACTCGTTGCTTGATCCATTCGTTCTCCAGACTGGTCTCCAGCGAAACCGAGTCCATGCAGCGTCTGCGACAATAGTTTCTGGCAGTCAGCCAATCCTCTTCGACGCCCTTCAATTGTGGGTCACGCCACGAGAAAAAGTAGCTATAGGGTTGGACAAGTTGAAGTGTGATTTAATACTGGACATTTTTCAGATTCAAGCTCTGTGATTAACTCACCCTTTGCCATCGGGTGTCTTCTCGTGAATTATGCGCTGGGCGCATAGCTGCGGATTTGGCGGCTCCAGACGTCCATTTTGGAACTGTGCCGAGCCCAGGCTCAACAGGCCGAACAAACAAACACTGGCAACAATGAACGCTTTCATTTTCTGACTCTCTTTTATTTAACTCTTGCACTGACACCCACGCACTTTCGTTTTCTCAAAAATTTTCTCGAGCTTGTTCGCGACGAGGAGACCAACAACCGACCGAACGAGTATATGAAACTGCAATGACACAAATATTTTGGTAACACCCGGTCTTATATATGAGCGGTTCGATCATTGTGTCTGCGCTTTCGGCAGCGGATTCGGCTTCGACTTCGGCTCTTGGTTTTTTGTGCTCCACTCGACGCTGCGATCGCAGTGTTAAGCCTAACTTTGTGCTGGGTTTTTCGTATGAAAATGAATTTTTGGAGCTTTTTCGCTGCCGTTGCTGAATTTTAAGTGGCCGGTTACCTGTCGATTGCATATTGACAAACATTTTAGGCCTCTCCAGGGATCGTAAGTACTCGTGTGTCTAGCACTCGCTGGTGCCATAATAGATGCGTCTGCGCCTATCATTTTGCACCACTTAGCAGTGCGAATACGCGCCTTGGCCATTTTTTTTTTTTTTTTGTTATTATTATTTACTCGACTCCACTGCCAGGCAGCTACATAATTAGCTATACAAACACGACACGACGCGACACGAACACGTCTCGAATATCATCAGGCGCATGGCAATTTGGCTTGTATCTGTTTTGGTCTCCTTAACTTTACATAATTTAATGCATTTTTACTTTTGCCGCTCTACATTTGTATTTGTTTTAAATATATATTTACTCTTTGGTGGGTCTGGTATGCCTTTCTGTGCTCGGCTCGTGTACTTTTGTCTTGGGCTTGGCCATTGGCCGTTGCATAACCTAAATTGTTGACCAAATTTATTTTGCTGAAAGTCACAGGTGACACATTTTTTTTCCCCCTTCTTGAGGTTCGCCAGAGCCCGCGCCTTGCCATTTTCCAATTAGGAAGTCAGCTGCTAAGTAGTCGGTTTATTTATGTATATCTACCAAAGGCGGTTTGAAGACGCGCTTGAGAAAGTGTGTTCAGGGTATATTGTAGCTAATGTAATCAATAATTATAATGACACACATTTTCCCAACGCTCAATTATTATAATTCAACAACATTATATATTGTAAGCTGAAATCTATTTTTTATACCCTGAATCCATTAAAAATGGGTATAAGGGTATATTGTATTTGTGCAAAATGCAAATGTATGTAACAGGCAGAAGGAAGCATCTCCGACCCCATAAAGTATATATATTCTTGATCAGCATCAATAGCCGAGTCGATATAGCCATGTCCGTCTGTTCTCTTACTCTTACTTGTTTTTATTTAATTTAAGTGAAATAATCTTACAAGCGTTACAAATTTTAGTTTTATTATTTATCTAATTATTTATCATTATCCAATTATGTTTTGATCATGAATTTATGCTATTTAAGATAATGAGAACTGCATAGAAAGACAGTTGATATTTATGAAATCTGAAGAAAGAGAGGAGGACAGTGAAACATCTAAGGCAAATTTGGAATATTTGTTTGGCACCTAAAATTAAGCTAAAGAAGCTTTTAAGGTCTTGAAAATCGAATAGATACAATGCAAAGGAAAATGTCCAAATCAATTGAATTCTAAATTTCTTAAGTTTTTAAAGAAGGAGAAAGTGGATTGTTTAAATTGTCTTTAATTTGTGATTTACCAATATTAAGATCGGTGCGGTTATAGAGAGAGAGAGAGAGAGGGAGAGAGGGGGAGAGTCAACAACGAAAAAAGAAACAAAACTAATGAAATTAACTGAAATTAGAATACACAATTCTAAACTAATTTTATGTTGTTATTGGACTGATTTCCAGTCATTTATTGTACGGAAATACAATTGTCAATTAGCTTCTCAACTTTCAATCTATGAGATTTTGTGCATTGACTGATGACAATAAGCACACCGCCCAAACGATTTGACTTAACGGCAGACAAGTGTTTTAGCCATTACATAATGGTCATAAACAACCAGAAGATTTACATATTTATGTGTGCACGTGGTATTGCATAAGCATAAAAAAAATATTAAGTAAATCTGACGCAGGCAACTGCATTTTATTATTTTTTTTTTTTTCTCAGCTCAAGTGCCCGGCTCATCAGTGGCCCCAAGTCGCGTCTCCATCTCCATCAGCAGATCAAGGTCAGCGTGACGGCACAGAAAAAAACGACAACAGCAACGAGTACATCAACGGCGAAATTTCACCAGCCGAAAGCAAATTAAAGACCCAGACCCAGGCCGAGGCGCGACGCACAGAGTCTTGTACCTTTTGGACTTATTCGTGTATTTCAGTAAAACAAAACAATACAAAAAGTACGCTACATTTTTTCTCTTTAACATTTTTTCCAGGTACCTATTTTGGACATTTTTACATGTTCAGTGCACACGTGCGGTGAAGCATGCAGGCGCCCATTGGCCCCTATTTGCCTTGTATACATGGTAATCCCATATATCAACATTGCAGATCTGGACAGCCCAGTCAGAGTTATTTTAAGCTGGGCAGGTGCTCGTTACAAATATCTCGGAATCGTCGCTAAATGCCGCGCTGTGAATGCCACGCCCATGTTTAAACATGTTTCAACGTATTCAAAATTTCAACGGACAATCCCAAAAATTTCGAATCTCTGTTTGACATCTTATTGAGTGTTAGTTTCACATTAAATTTGTTGGAGAAATTGATAAATGACATGAAAACCATTCAGAAAATTTATATAAAATAAATACTGAATTTCTAAAAATTATTTAATAAATGCTATAATAATATTTAAGTATTAAATGAATATTTATTTTTTTTATAAGTATATATTATAAATTATAGAATTGAAAGTTGTGTGTTTTTTTTATTATACTTTTAAATAACTTAACGGTTGCATATTATTTGTAGTCTACATAAAGAATAGTATTTTTTTGGTCAACGCTCGTAAAGTTTCGGCTCATAAATATGATCTACGTTTGCAAGTATGTTCATATTGAGAAAGGCAAAAATATTGCAATAATAAAATTGTACGTGCAATGGGCTACACTAAATCTTAAGCAATGCCTGTCATTGACGGCACGTCGTCTTTTCCCAACAAACTGACCGAATTTTTGGTTTCAAATATTTTTAATACATTATAATCCCAACAGTATTTGTACTATGCTAGTGTGCTGGGCACTACGAATATATGTTTTAAACAAATCGTCGTACATTATGAGCTACATATCATCGTGACACATTTGTGCATTATCATGAAGTACACCTACAATGACTGACTTACATTAACCTATATAATGACAATTATGAGGGTATTTAAATGTCATAGCGCTCTTTTCTATAATATTACACTCAAATTTTAATTTGTTTTTATTGCCATTGTGTTGATCAACACAAGTTCAAGTTTGCTTACAGTCAACTTAACTATATGATCTTCATTTAATGGCTTAGTTGGGCCGCTAAAGTGTTTAAAATAAAATTAAAAATAAAAATTAAGTGAAACGTTTACTATTACAAATTAAATATTGCCTGAATGTGCAGTTGCCAAGTGGGCGTACATCCATCTCTGAAATTTTTGTAATATTCATGGCATGTTGGGTTTTGTCTCAAAGAGCTTGCATCAAAATCGGCAGGAGTAGAATAGGAAAAAATGATGAATCGCTAGATTTTTTAGAGCCACCCCCCGGGCCCGCCTTGTATGCAAATCTCTGTCAAATGGAGGATAAGAAACTGGCACCAAGTGTCACCAGGTGTCTATATTTCAAATTTTGCTTGGAGCTCATCTTGTTTGCTTATTAAAACATTACCTCATATTTATGCAATGTGTCCCGATACAGTCGGCGGCAGCGCTTACGGGCACTTGGGCTGGCCAATTTGCCAATGCGTTGGGTAAATGTAAATATGTACTTATTAAGGGAGAAAGTGATGCCGTTGCGTTGTTTTATATTTTATTTTTTTGTTTGTTTTTTATTATATTTTGTGCACAGTTTGCATATTGTTTTACTTTTTCTTATAAGTGCGAACGCTGCCAGATCTGCTAGATATTTGCACAAAATGTGAGTATGGCAGGTGCAACCGACCTATTTCCATAGGTGTGAATAGATTGTGCCAATGTTTAACGGAATGGGCGAAGGCGCTCAACATTTCTTATAACAGGTGAAATTATTATGTAAAACTGGTGAACCCGCATTTGGATTTCCCCCAATTAAGTTTGTCTGTTTGGCCAACTCGTGGCCCCCTCAATGTCATCCCACAATTATTTGACGGGCCGGAATGGGACATAGAAACAACAACGCCAATTACTTATTATTTATGTCAGCGGCATATGCCTATAAAGAAATAATAATTAAAGTTTGCTTTATGTTCACGCCGTGATTGGACTTTAAATAAGCACTTATGCTTGATTCGGAACTTATAATGTTTATTCTTGGCTCTACAATAAACCTCATTGAGCATATGCTAATTTTTAATTTGGGAACTCACACGCTGACCTTAGGCTTCACAAAAATAACTGATATTAGCCACGAACTTCGTGAATTGGCAAGAGCAGGAATATAGGAATACAACTTTTTATAGAGTTAGAGCAATGAATACTATTTTATAAGATGATACTCATTTTTACAAAAGTGGCGTTGAGTCTTGATATGTAAGACAATTTCATCCACAAATCATAGATTCTGTTTTATTTTGGATTCGTTATGTATCAGACCCAAATGTTAGTTAATGTTTTATCCGCAAACACATTTGGTTTTGGAGGCCAAGGCTGACTTTGTATGTGTGTGGCATCGACACTTGTGAACTTTTTGGCACCTGACCAGGGTCCGTCAGCGGGCGATGTTACTGTACACACAAGCACGCATACAGGTGTATGTGGTTGTGGTATGCATAGTAATGAATTAAGATGTTTTTTTTTTATTTAATTCCAAATGCCAATTAGACAAAAAACTTTTGATATGAGGGACTATGCAAGTGGCTCTCTTGCGAAATGCTTTCATATTCATAGTTTTTGTGGCATTATGTTGAGTGTAATCGAATTGTATTATTGCAAGGTGTCGTCTCAGTGCGGACGTGAACGTATACCAGTCCAAAATCGAACTATAATTGCATTTCAAATAAGTGCTCAATGGCCTTGCGGCGGCACAATGCGCCTTGATTCACGTGATATTTTATGCGCTGGACATATTTATGCGATTCTGTATGCTGCACCGCATGCAAGTGCCGTTTAATTGCACTTTCCAGCAAATTAACATTAATAAACAACATATTGTGCGCTATACAGGTGCTTAAAGGTTACATTTAACCAACTTATTCAAATTATTAAGCAGATACAATTTATATGTAATTTAAATAACGTAAAGCTGAAAGTTCGGTTTGAACTTAAGTAAATATGGAACATGTGGCAAAGCTGATTGCTATGGCACTTCCCCTCTTTGCACAAAACTTACCACAGCCTGACAAATTGTAATCAACCGACCTCCACAAAATATCGAAGGGCAACACTGTT